CACTGATTGTTAAAATATAATTTGGAGATGCATCTTAGTATGTGTAAAAAGTGTGTCTGAATATTTATCTTCGTAAACACTATTTCTTCAAAAGTTAATGAGTGGTTCGAAGATGCATCTCCAGACGCTTTTGTTTCATATCTCGCGCCAGAGCTTCCCTTTTCCTCCTTTATTTTCTCAAAAAGTTCTCAAAACAACATTTGAGCTCTGCAATATTGAACATTCTTATCCATTCATCCAAACACCATTCACTGGAGATCTGCAACATTAAAACTTCTCCTCTTTTCCAGCATCTCAAATAAGCAAGATACTTTTCATTATTTTGATTAGATAAGTATTTCAACATTTAATCCATTTTTATTTTTTGATTTGTAGATAGTTGTTTAGGATACATTAGATGTATTATGTACGATAGACAACAGTGTAAACGAAATGGTAGGTTATCGCAAACATGCATTGAGTGTTTTTGGGAATGGTATGGCAAAAAAATGGGTTGCTGCCATGGAAGAAAAATTGTAGGTTTGTCTAGAGATGCATCTCTAGATTTGCTCCGTATTATTTTCAGAGATGCATTTCCAAATTATACTCAAGAAAAAAATGGGGGATTTTGTGGAATTTGTGAATTTCTCCTAACATGATGTTTATATATGTCTCTATTTCCAACGAATGTGCCATGGCTGAAACCAATGTTGGTTGAGTTAGGCTCAGGCGTATGTCCCAAACTACGTCAGTACAAAAAGAGAGGGTCGCGAAGGTGAGGACCACAAGGCCACGAGTTACTGATAACTCGTTTGATGGTGCATCTACTTTGCACCGATCATCTGGTTCTCATATGCGACTCTCGCAGACCTCTCAGGCATATGATGCAGCAAAACCTGAAGTTCCTGAAGCCTTTGTTAACTCTAAAGCCCTTGAAACCCAGAAGGAAGTTGTTGTCGATCCTAATGACCAATTAGAGAGTTACCCAGGAGGTCCATTTGACACCTCCTTACTTCATCTTTATACAGTCCATGATGTTAGACATGTCTGACACGGAGAGAAATATTTCTTTTCTTTTGCAATAAATATGTTGTTGACTAATTAAATCCATACGGATGGTTATATTTTTTATCTTAACGGTTGATCAGAACCTGAGGTGTGCCAAAGACAAACGTTTGTGATGCTGGATGTGAAAGAGGAGGAAGGGGTGTACCTGCAAGACACTCCAATGCTAAAGTAAGAAAACCAGCAAGAGAGAGAGAGAGAGAGAGAGAGAGAGAGAGAGAGAGAGAGAGATAGAGAGAGAGAGAGAGAGAGAGAGAGAGACAGAGACAGAGAGACAGAGAGAGAGAGAGAGAGCAAGTACAAAATATGCATATTTCAGGGTGAATATTGGATACCAGACCCTCTCAAGTGAGAGGGTTTATATAATTCCCCCAATGCTTGGCCATTGGTCCCTATTTTCGGGGCGAGATAACTGTTTTCCGAAGAATATGTAATTGCCAGAACTAGCCTTTGGGACGGGAAGACGTGCCCATAACTCATCGTTGGCATGGGCACAAGTGTTTTGGTTATTTCTGAATGGTGGAACTGTGCATGACGGACAGAGACTGACGGGGAGGAGTGTTGTGACCAAGGGTAAATTGGTTAGCCTCCCCCGTTGGAGGGGCAAAAAGGTAAATTCTCCCCCCAAAATGGTTGGACTTAGGCAATTGGACCGTTTTGGGAGCAGAAGTGGATTGGGCCATGCCTAGCCATTGAGCCAGTCCAGAACAGTAGCCCCCCAAGTCGTTGCTACCGAGCACGGTAGTGATGACTTAAGGATAATCAGCTTTCCGAGCATAGTCGCCATAAGCTTTCCTCGTGTCTGGAGAAACACTTGCCTGAGCGTCTGAAGCATTATTGTCGGGGAGCTTGAGATCCGAGGAGCCCAACAGTTGATGGGATCTGAAGAGTGGAGGTTTCATGTATGCCTCGAGCCATGTACTGCATTAAATGTGTGATGATGGCTAGGCTAGGGTCATGATGATGCCCTACCCGCACGATCTTGTGCTTGTGCGTGTCATTTGCCTATAAATAGTGAGAGGTTTCATTCATTCAAAACTTTTGCTTCTCTCTCTTCTTGCTCATTGTTCCCCGTTATTCGTCGCTCGCTGCCTTCAAGTTTTGCTCCAGCCACCGTACGACGTCCGACCAGAGCTACTCAAGTCTAGAACTTCTTCCTCGACCAAGTAAGTATGTTGATTCCTTGCTTACTCTTCATTTTTCTGGTTTGATGTTATAGAATGCACGTATTTAGGACTAAAATGAAGTAGTTATAGGGTGTTTTTACGGTGGCTGCTGGTGGTAGACGGTGGCGTGACCATTTTCTCTGTTGTCAGCACGACCATTTTCTCTGTTGTCGGTGCGCCCTTTCACTTGACTAGCAGTGGAAGGGTGGATTTGATTTTGTCATCGAATTCACTCTTTTCCTCAGTTTTCAGGTAAAAGTGACATCGGCCAATGAGTGGACCGTAGCTAAGCCAATGGAGCATGCCTCACTCTTTGCTTCATACACTGGAGACGCATTTACTACGGTAGGGCCGGAGGGAGAGTGAAGGGTCCACTTTGTCGCATCACTGCGAAAAAGGGTCGGTTGACTGACAGAAGAGTCGCCACCAAACGTTATTTATCCCAAAGAGAGGGAAAGGAAACGATCGAAGAAAACCTGAGGAAAAGAGAAAGACAAGGTCATCGCAACCAAATCTTGGGTTCGGGAGTCGGTTATGCAAGGGGAAGGTATGAGCACCCCTCACATCCATTGTACTCAACGGGATCCACGTTTGTTGTCTAAATCTATGGGTGAAAAACTATCTAAAATCTACTAAACGGGGGTGAAAGAAAGAATAGACTCGATAGGGCATCGTCGCCATATGCCTACGTATTCCCTCGTGCAATGGGAAAGTCAGAGTCCACGTAGTTCGGGAAACTACGGGGGAGGTTGCTCGCCAAGACATCGCCTTCTTATGCCTACGTATCCTCATTTTCTATGAGAAATCAGAGCAAACGTAGTTTGGGATGACACGACCACTGGTTGGTTCAAGTGTTTTACCGAGTAGGGTTAAGTATTTGTTCTAACAGTTAGGGACGATGCCTGTTTGCGGTAGAACAAAAACTTAACA